TATTACCCACACATACAGGATTTCATCTTGCCTTCACTGAACTCTGCTGAGGTGAAGAGTTGACTAGAGTGGAGTAACCTACTGCACAAGCTACATCCCTGTTCCATGTACTGAGGTTTGACACAGTACTTGCTGGCCATGTTTTCTCCAGTTAAAGAGGCTCCTGGGATTGATGCACGATTTCTTTTAAAGATAAACATCCTCTCAACATTTGTTTTCCTTTGGAAAAATTCCTGTAAGTTTTATGTCTTGAAGCTGAGCTCACATAATAGGAAATCATGTATAATACAGCGTAATTAAAACCTTCCTACAAAGACACAGCAACTCCCCCATTACACACCATTCAACCAACTCTATCATATGGTAGATTAGACAGTGTGGGTTGTGAGTCTGTGCATTACACATGGTAATTCCAGTAAAAGCAACGAGCACGGCACTTAATGAGAACACACTTTGTTCATACACACTCCTTCCCAAGTGCTGATCACAGTAATGTTGAAGTTTCATGTTTACTTGCTCAAACAAAAAAAATAAAAATTGAATCACCATGCATTCCCTTGTGGCCCGTTTTGTAATTGCTCCACCGGCTCTGAGATCATCTCAATTCAGTTCAGTAATCTGATATTGGGTTCTAATTAACAACTCTCATTTTTACCTCCATACAGTGAACTCCTCTGTCAACTTGTATGAACAGCAACTCAGTGGTTTCACAATCACGGAGTGAAACTTGAATGATGCAAGTGCAGAAAATGAGGAGCTGTTATGGAGATAAACATCCAATTTGTATATTAAGTTATTTAAAAAAAACCAAAACAAAACCCAAACTACAAAAATCAGCCTGTCTGCTTCATAAACTCTTAAATAAAATCAGGCTACATTTTGTATGACCTGAAGGAGAAGCTGAGGGTACTCTAAGGAAAACACTATTGTTAGCTCTTGCAGGAAGGTAGCTCTGCACATTCTTGCAACAGTTAGTTCACCGTGGATCTCACCATCTCTACCACAGCATAACCAAAGTGAAAACTATCCCCATGCAAGGGACAGAAGTCTACAGTGTATTACACGCTAGTCTTGCCCACAGAAGGCTACAAATCTTTCTGTACTAGAACATGAAACTAAGCAAAACATAGAATAGCCCTAACAGAAAACAAACAAACACTGAGAAGGCAGATTTCCAAAATGCTGGTGGTGTAATTCAGCTCTAGCCTGCTAAAGCCTGGAAGACTCCTTATGATTCATATATTTCAGACTTGGAAATCAATAGATATCACGTATAATAATAGAACATGAACACACACTCCCATCTGCTTTACAGATTTAAAGTGACCTCAAAACCTGTACTTTAACATTGATTTATAAAGAAAATCATGGTTTCAGCAGAAGTAATATTGTAAAGCCACTACCTGTTTATAACATAAAATTAATTGATGAGGCAATTATTGCAGACCCAAGTGTCTTGGTAGATTCTAGAATAGTTTTTGCTTGACGTTCTATCTGGCAATTAGTGGCAAATTGTTGGTGAGGTTTTTAATCTGCTAACATTCAGATAAAGGCAGGCAGCCAGCACCACACTCAGTGAAGTTTTCCATCTGCCTGAGTTTTGCAGCATTATTAGGAACAGTGTTATTTCAACTGTGAAAAAAGTGGGTACAAAAAAAAAAAAACAACCCACAAAAAACAACACACACCACTTTTATTAAACAGATTTCAATGGCTCATTCATCTGGTAAAAATCAGTTAAATTGGCTTGCTTTCCTTATATTCAAGCCTTAAAAAAAAAAACAAACAACAAAACCAAAAAAACCCAAATAACAACAAAAATAAAGTGACATTCTTCCTTGACCTGGTTATCTTCTCAAGCCTTCAATTTCTGCAGTTCCAAATAAGAGACATCCCCGAGTGTTTCCTGAGTACAAGCTCAGGAATGAAGACTTTAATGTGTTCTCTCTGAGGGCTAATTCCACCACACTAGCAATAACTGAGAGTGTACGGGAAGAGCTAATGAACATGGAAGACAAAACGAAGGTTTACATTTCCCTTGAATTACAAAGCTCAGCTCAATAAGGGTTCCTCTGTGTCCTGGAACCTAGGCTTCAGTATAGCTAGTGGATGTGCAATTATATTCAACTTTATCCTTTCATGTAGTACATCTCATCTGTAAGACTCAAAGCTTTTTGGAAAGAAAAATAGTATCCTAGTCTCCTTTTCACAGGTAAGGTTGTCTTGCCAAAGACAGGGACTGACCTTACAGCAGACTGATAGCTGGTATCCAAGTTGCCTGACTTCCAAGTAGTTCAGAACACCGTCCACGAGGCAATGTTTGCTTGTGTGAAACCCCAGTTAGATATGGTTTATGTGCAGAGAAGAGACTGGCAAATATCCATACAAGTTAGGCAATTTGCCATAGATGGGCTATATTGCTGCTGTGGTAGAAAAGCATCTTATTTCCTCTGGCCCAACCCCTTCTTGCATAGAGAGTAAATGTATATGGCTATATTATTAAAACATGAGAGCACATTAGATTGAAGAAAAGATCCATACTGGGAGCATCATTTATTTATCTCTGAGTGTGTTTTAGCATCCCCTTGGCTGGTAAGTAGCAATAAAAATGTAACATATATGCCATGTCAAGCAAGAAGATGTGTTGAGTAAGAGTGAGGCAGGCTATAAAATAGAGGAACAAGGATTGTTTCAGCTAAGTGTCTAGTGCTTCAATGAGAACACACTTCTGTTGCCTTCACTTGCCTACCAATGCTGACGGGTTTTTTTTCCAAAATGGCTGAATACTGTCAGTTTGAATAGTCTTTGCTTGGAGTTTTAGTAAAACAAGTAAAATAAAATTAAATAAAAAAAAAGAAATGTCGACTCAGAAGTCTGCAAGTCTCATCAGAAGAAGTGCTCGTCGCTGCCCAGCTCCTGGATACAACCCTGAGTACAAGGCCAGCCCACAAGAGGAAACAGAAGGGCAACAATGCACAAACTAAAGGACACAAATACAATCCACCCATCAGGATTGGCAGTCCCCCAGAAAATCAGCCCACGTTACTCCAAGTCAGTCACTCAATTTCATACTGAAGGTGTGATGAAAACAGCAACGTGCCATTCCAGACTTGTGTCTGACTTGTGCTCCCGCATTACACTAAGTGCTCCACAGCTATTCTGCTCTCTACACCTTCATTAAGCTCCAGCAATCAGAGCAATAATCCTTGGGGATCTAGCAGAGAAAAAAAGGTAAGATGTTTCATGTGACAGCAACAACAGAACCACAAGTCTCGCAGCATTTGTGCCTGAGCCCCATTTTAAAGATGCTAGGCACCAGCACAGATATGGCTGCCACTGCCTGCTCAAAGCAGTTTACAGTTTGAAATTGAATACAAAACCTGAACTATCAACCTGCATTTTGCAATTTCATGACCTTCACCCACCTGTGTATTCTAACACCACCAGAGAGGACTCTGCACCTCCTATTTCAGTGAGCTGTCCTCAATTAGCTAGTCAGTGGTGTTTCACGTGAAGGGAAGTTTACTTTCTGTTCTAAATATGAATATGTATAAAAATAATACTCTTATGTACCAGAGGACTTATGTATTCATTTTTGCCTCATTTTGTCCAAGCAAAGATGATAGAATCATAGAATGGTTAGGGC